GTGTTTTAAACCTGTAAACTTACCCTTCTTCTTCCACAGGTATATCTTCAGGAGTGTAAGAACTGTACATATATATTTGTGTTTTAAACCTGTAAACTTACCAAACACTTCTTCTTCCACAGGTATATCTTCAGGAGTGTAAGAACTGTACATACTGGACATCAAGGAATGTTCCTCAACTTGTCGCTGAAGACTTTCAATTTTTGCCTCATAGTTCTTGGAAATAAAGTAAAAATTAGCATATAATTTTTACTGTTTGGCAACAAGAATCATCTGAACAAAGTTTTACTACGCAACCAACACTGGTGTGAAGATCCAAGTAATGGCTAAGACATAAATCAAGTTCAGTAAAAGAAAAAAGTAAACAGAGGCAATATATATATATATATATATATATACGATAATTAAGTTGTTTTTCTCAAGAGACTTTGCATAAATGAAATGTTATCCTTTTCTTTCTGCTGATTTCAATAGCAGTTTATAAACTTAATGTATGAAATAAGTCTCTTTAGATATTAGAAAAATTGTTGCCATTCTACATGGGTGGGAGATAAAAGAATTAAAAACAAAGGAAAACAAATCTGTAATTGTATTTATAACAAAGTTACAATGGTTATCTGTCACTGTCTCTAATTTTGTACTACTGACAAGAGGAAAGACAGCCAGTCAACAGCACCCTACCACCCACTATCCATGCTAAGAGATTTACTGTTACTCCAAAAATGTACCCATAACTTAAAGTGTGGGAAATATTTTGAGGTATTGCAAGCCCGGGAAAAACAGGAGGAGATAAACTTATGCAAAAAATAAATAAAAATCATTATTTATGTCTTTCCACCTTCAAAACATAATTCCCAACATGCATAATAAGAAAAACAACACAAAATTTTAATTAAATAACTAATCATAACACATCCCCTTTACCATATTCAACACGACTCTCAAAAGAAAAAATCAAATCAAATAACAAACCAGATATCCTTGACTCACTTTTAAAACATAACCCTCAAAAACAGAAATATTTTGGTCACCAGAGATTGTGAATGGAATGCATAAAAAATCCTGTTTTGAACAAAACTGAGATAAAGAGTATGGCGATTAGTTATTTTGATATATTCTTTTTACCATACCTTTCTTTCTTGTTGAAAAAGTTGATCCGCTTCTTCTTTTTCTCGTTTATACTGTTCTTCTATAGCAACGAGTCTTCGGTGATACAGAATACGTATATTGGCATTTATAATGCGTCATATTCAAAATATACTACATAAAAACTCCATGCACACCCATTACGTAAATAATCAAAAATTTTGTTCCATTTAAACATTATTTGGATCTGGAATATGTAAATGCATGGTCTTAATAATTGATCCATGTTTTATAAATAGCAAGACAGCTGTTAAAACAGTTTTAAACACAAATTTTATGTAACACCAACAATCAAGTTAGGATATATTCTGAATTTTACTCTAGTTCGGTCTACAATTCTCATTATTTTAAATTATTAAAAGCCTTTGATCGAACATTTTGCTAATTTGACAATTATTGAAAAGCATCCTTTATACAAGTTTCATGACCTAGTAAAAGATAATTTATATTTTAATACTTTGGGACTTTCCCAAATCAAACACAAGAAGAACCTTTGTTACGATGTCCAAAATCCGAAGTCAGTTCATTTTAAACACTTGTAAGAGAAAAATTTATTTCTGTGGGAAGATGAAGCAATTCTTGGATATATATATAACATCTGACTGCTAGCAAGTGTTAACTGCCGTAAGTAAAAGCACCACTTGGGAATGATTAAAAGAAAACTAACCCATTGAAAAGAGTTCCATGTTGTAAAAATAAGTTGTAAAGAAAACTGAAACCCACTTGTGTTTGGTGGAATGGTAAAAATGGTTGTTTAAAATATTACAGAAAATCAGCTGGTACCACAATGAGAAAATTTTCAACAATCAATTTTACCTTATCCATCAGAGGTTAGGAAAATATTGTTACGACAGCAGAAGGGCACACGAAGCTAGGAGCATGCGTGCTGGAGTTTCTAGAAGGATCATGACTTATCGGGCAACCTCACAAATGTCTCAGCATTTGCTAGACGCCCTCTTTTTTAGTATATAAGCCGGAGATTGATTGAAGAGAAATAATTGAGAATTGAGTCAAGTAGGCACCGTAAGTAAAGTGTGTGAATCGATGTGAATTATAGCATGCATTTATAAAAGTAGTTAAGTTAAAGTGACTGTGGAAATTCTGTGTATTTCAAAGTTGTATCGAGAAAGAATAAATTAGTTTTAATTAAGAAAGAACTTGTATCACTGAAGTTTCTCGGAAAGAATTTCTACGGGAAATTAACAAACATGCAGATACGCAACAATATTACAAAGAACGTTTCTGGTTATTCACTTTATTATTCTTAGTTTATATCCAAGACTCAAAACATTTTTCAAATATTTTAACATTTTCAACTGATGTTGATGAAATGCCAATTTTTCATTTCGCTACTTACTTTTTCTCCATATCAACTTTCAAGTCAATTCCTTGTTTTTCCAGCAGTTCCAGTTGAGCAAAAGACCAGTCTACTGGTTGAGTAGCTAAAAACGAAAGGAAACATGTATCAAAATTTCATTCATACACTCAAAGTACCTTCTAACTTTAATCATTCATTTTTATTTCAATTTCATTTATACTGCCTTACAAGAACATGTTCTTCAACAACGGCCTCAATTTTTTCATGATATTTGATAAACTAGTTAACAATGATCGACAAGCAGATGTTTTCTTTAAAATATAGCTAAAAATATCAAAAATCAAATAAAGTTATAAAAAATATTATAATTTCACAACTGTTGAGTATTTTTAGAAAAAAAAAGTTTAAATTAAATTCTAGAGTTAAGTGTATCTGTAAAATATGTAAAAAAAAATAACTAAGACAATTACACAAGTGGGCAAAATCGTAAATGTAAGTCATTAAACTCCAACTAAGAATATAAAAAAAGGTTCTTAAAATTGAAAATGCCATCCTTTTTAGGCTGGAATCATTATGAGTATGAACACCAAAGGTGAATAACTACAAATATTATGTAATTAACCATGTTTCAGAATATCTTCAACTTTGAAATTTAAATGTGACAAATTTGCCATACTCACTTTCTGGTGTATCAACAGGAGATTTGTCCTTGTTTTCTTTGTTTTCTCGGGATTCTCGAGCTGCTTCAAATTTTAATTGAAGAAACAGTATAGTTCAAATATAAAGTATTTCTGCCTATCAGGTATTACATTAAGCTCTATTTAAAAGTATACATAAGTTGTTTAAGATAGCCATATAGATCTGAAATACTATTTTTACACACACCTCTAATTTCAAGCAGCAGCGGACATATTAAGAGGAATGTGAAAAAACAAATTGGCAGGTTTTTATAACAACTTTTTGGTCTATAGGCTTTTCAATATTTTGCCGGCTTTTAGCATTTAAACCATTACTTTCAGAGTAATATATAAATAGGATTTCATAGAATCATTTGTCTCTCATTGGTCCAGTCCAATTGATGAGTTCTGGTAGTGAATGAAAAGTTTATTTGGCAGCAATATGTGGAAAACAAAACATAGACCTAAAATGCTATTTTTCGTTTTTTTAAAATACACCCAATTCTCAGCCACAATGGATAAATTAAGAGAATGTGACCAGAGTCATCTGCAATTAACCTGTTCATATAAACATTTTTAGGCCCATTTGTTTTCCAACACTTGTCCAGATTTTGGCATTTAAACCATAAATAAAAAAAAGGTTAAAAGTAAACCAAAACAATAAAACTAAGTATACTCAGCTAAAAATCTGGTTCCATTTAAATATTTAAAAAATACAACTCAGATATAAGTTTGTACATTTTTTTTAACTAACAATAACTGCATTAACTTGGGATTAGCAACTAACCTTGTTCTGGATGCTGGAATCGAAAAACATGGTATTTTCCTAAAATTACACGAGATCCAGTGTGCAGCTGTATTTGCTCTGTAATCTGTCGTCCATTGACATAACACAAACTTCCTTCACAGGGTGTCAGAGTAACATTGCCTAGAAAAAAAAAAGTCATAAAATTCGGTGAAACTATCAAGAACCTCAAATTGGATTGTCACTTTTAAACAATGTTTTAAGACAACAGAGAGCACGTATTTATACCAACTCTGAACACCAGCAGGATAGTCACATTAATTTCTGTATAAAATTATCATACCAATATGACATTGTTTGTTTTTTGCACAATGTAAACAAAACTTAGAACTGCTTTCCCAATATAAGCACTAAAAAATTAATTATACTCATAATAAGACATTATTAGGCCTATTATATTTTTAACATTACATTCTTTATTCAGTCCCCAAAAGTTCTTCAAAAATAAAAGTGTATAATAGCATTTGCCAATGGCACATATCTCTCAATCCAGAGTTCATCAGGCTGACTGGAACACAACAAAAACAGTAGTGGTTGGAACACTATTTTTATAAGCCAGCTTAGAACAGTTGTTCTCACCATAAACATTCTTGTTGTAACAAATGGCTTATATAAACACCGATTATACTTCTTTAAAAAAAACCTTAAGGGACTGGATAATAAATTAGTGTTAAAAATATAATACATCTAATACTAATGTCTTATGACCAGTATAATTAATTAGTGTTAACTAGTGTTAAAAATATAATACATCTAATACTAATGTCTTATGACCAGTATAATTAATTATAATCAAACTTTGCCAGCTTAGAACAGTTGTTCTCACCGTAAAAATTCTTGTTGTAACAAATGGCTTATATAAACACCGATTATACTTCTTTAAAAAAAAACCTTAAAGGACTGGATAATAAATTAGTGTTAAAAATATAATATATCTAATACTAATGTCTTATGACCAGTATAATTAATTATAATCAAACTTTGCCAGCTTAGAAAATGCATTCAAACCATAACAATAAGAAATTAGATCTGAAAATAAAGAATTAGAAGTACTCATATGACAGCAAAAGTAAAATATAAGTATACTAGCAGAGACCTGCAAAACATTTGTCGTCAAATTAGTATTTTTATTAGAACAGTACTTCCTTGAGTACAGAATTTCTAGAATAATACAAAATAATTCTATAAATCCAGTTATCTTAGGCCTATCATTAGTTAAGCCTTTATTAAGTATATCCTACATTTGATAAAGAGATAAATTAACACTGTAAATTGTGTATGTTTTTTATTTTAGTTTAATTAGGCCTAAACTCTACCATAGTTGTTACTATCAATAAATAAACTAAAGTATATTTTCATCCACCTTTGTTTACATACTGAAATGAAGTGCGCACGCATACGCATTTAGATAGTAAGGTGTGCACACATTTTCAGGACAGACAAAAACCGAGTATCATTATTATAACAGATAAAATACAAGACTATTCCTGGCAAAAGGTCATAAATACACACAGTGATGCTCACTAGTTATAATTTCTGTAAAAACTTGAAATTATGACTCTCAAATATAAAACACTTTCATAGATACAACGTCAGTCCCTTTCTTAATCCTATTTAATTAACAAATAACTGTATAAGACCTGACAAAATTTGCTGTATCCTAAACAAAAGCTTTTAATTTTACATTATCAACTTGGAAATTTCATATTATATTTTTTAAGAGGTACCCATTTAATTATTGAGCATATACAAAATTCTTGAAACAACTTCTGGTTATATATTACATATATTTTGTTGAGTATAATATTTTGTTTTAGCACTGAGACATAATCATGTACTATTCGAAATTCAAATTACACATACATCAAATCATTCTTTTTAAGATGGAACTAACTTCACCAATTGTTATTTTTTAATGTAAATAATTTGATACAAGCATAATGGTGCTCGTAATGCCTTATTTACGATTGGTTTTGATTCTTGGATCCTTAGAGTTTTCAAAATGTCTCTCTTTTTTAAATTATTCTCAAATACAATACTCATATACTTTTGAAATGTATTTTGTGTTATTTTCTAATGATGTATTCATGTACGTTTCGATCTTTCCGTTTCTCACTTCTCCTACATAACGACTTTTGCAACCTATATATTCTAATTCATACGCTTTTCCACTACCATGTTCTTCATTATGAAATAACTTGTTTTTATATATTAGTTCCTGTTCTAGTTACAATTTTACTATTTAACTTGCACGTTTTACTTAATTACTGTCCGATTAATTTTTCACTAATAACAAGTGTTATTGATCCATATTTGTGTTTTATTTGTCTTATTAGTTTTATTGATTGTTTTTTTTGTTTCAAAGCAATTTTTTTTATTCTCTGAATTTTATTTTATGTGTTTTCATTGGTGCAGAGTCTGTGTGCTTTCTTATCTTCTGATTTACTATTTCTTTTATCTTGTGTTTCTAACACTTTACACAAGTTTCACCGGGTGTGGTCTATTTTGTGTGTGTAAATTTGATTATCTTACCACAGCCCTATACATTTAAAAATGGAACAAAAAATTCATAAACTTACCATCCTTGCTATCAAAAATACAGTGCTGGTTCAAAATTCTTGATCCTTTAAGTTTAATATCTTGAGGTATATTGGCTTCTGCTCTTCCAACTCTACGAGATGTTACCAAAAAAAAACCTTGGTCAAAATTGATGTTACAATGATCTTTTACTTCCAGATAAAGAAATATTGGAAATTCAGAAACGTGTACTTTTGTTCTAAAATTATAAAAATAATTTTAGAGAAAAGCAGCCTGATGGGAATTGCATTAAAGGAAACTGAAAACATGAATAACTAACACATAATTTTAACTACTGCAAACCTTTGAATGACATATCAGTTTCACAATACAACAGAATGTCCTCGTAACTGATAAAATACTCACTGGAGAAGTTTGGAAATTTTCCCTTGTTAGTAAAGATATGAGTAAGTAGATTAATATAACTTTTATATGCCTCATTGTACTCCTGAGTGTAATACAAATGTTCAGGATTATAAACCAGTTTCATTTCTGGAAAGTTTAGAATAATAAACCAGCTCCTTGTCTGGAAAGTTTAGGATAATAAACCAGCTCCTTGTCTGGAAAGTTCAGAATAGTAAACTAGTTTGATGTCTGGAAAGTTCTGGATAATAAATCAGTTTGATGTCTGGAAAGTTCAGGACAATAAACCAGTTTCATGCCTGGAAAGTTCAGAATAATAAACCAGTTTCATGCCTGGAAAGTTCAGAATAATAAACCAGTTTCATGCCTGGAAAGTGCAGAATAATAAACCAGTTTCATGTCTGTAACAGCAGGGTATGAATAAGTAGCTATCTTTACCTTGTTGTTCCATCTTTGATGTAATATAATAAACATTCTGACATCAGTGGGTCTTCATTGAGGTTCACAATGTGAGGAGTCTTAAGAAGAACAAACAAAACAAAATTTTCAGAAAATACAAAATCAGTTATTTATATATACGATGTAATTACAGCTGCACACACATATATATTCTTACAATAATTTTCTGTCACTTAATCTTACCAACAAACAAAATATCATGAAACAGCTCTAATACAATAATCAATGCATACGTTAAAGTGAACAACAATGCAGGTAATGTTGATGTTTATTGTTTTCTACTTTTTTCCAGCTGATTATAAGAAACTTTCATAAAATAAAATGAAAAAAAATGCTAGGAAGATATATAAGATTTTATAGAAAGATTAGTTTAATAAAACTATTTTTTCTTTCCAGCTCAATTAAAAAAACCACTTGAGTGTCTCTCTTCTGGTCATAGAAAATGAGATGTAATTCAACATCAAGATAACACAGAAGTGAAATTCTACTCATTAATAAACTTTAATTGTGTAATTATCTCTACCCACCAAGGTATAAGATCAATAAAGCCAAGATCAGAAAAGGTATTGATATTTCATCCATTGTAACCATCAGTCTGCATATATATATATTTTTTTTTTTAGACAAAAACTTCTGCAATAATAATATATATTTAGAAAAAATAATTGTAAAAAGATGAAGAAATCTTATTATACAAGTTATGCCTAATGGATTAAGTTTCTATCTATACCCTGAACTAAGCTATACTTCGGAAACATCCTTAAGCCTAATGCAATAAATAAGGGCACAGATTCAGCCGTTAAGTGCCTAGTCACTGAAATTTAGACCCCTTAGGTTTAGTACCTCTTGAAAGCAGATCCCTCAAGTAATGATCTGAGAATCAATGTAGAAACTAATAAAAAGAAAATAAACAAATAAATATCCGTCAATTTTAAGTCAAAGTTACCAAATTAACCCTATTTAAAAAGATGATTAGGAAATCCTAGAAGAAACTTAAGCAGTGCTAAGAAGAAAATTCACATAGCTTTAGTTTTCTTGTATGTAACACTGAAAAAATACCTTTGTACTGTTCAAACATTCTCTCTTTAAACTGGAAGTTAGAAGTATATGGTATTAGATATCGAGAATGAAACCATTAACATTAAATGTTAAAAAATTCCTTAATTCACATCTTAGTTTAACAAGATGTGAAAAACAAAAAAGACCATCGTAATAGTTACAGTAGTCACTGAAAAAGAAATTCTGTTATTTGTGAATAAAATGTAGATAAACAATGAATACAATAGATAAGTCCTAAACACTGCAGAGAGAAGAAAACAAAGCCTTTACGATTACCTTTTTTGGTGAAAAAATGCCAAAAGCACCACCATCTTCTCTTAAAGCTACTCCCATCTCAGCTAGTACAGCCTCTCTGTAAAATTATTCAATATTAAACATTTAAAATTGAGCAGTTGCTACAAATTTAGAGTTTAAGAATTTCTCAATACATATTTTTATACTTTACATTATGCCTAGTCTTCTAAGATGGTGTACAACACTCATCCAAGGAGTGGTTTTAAACGGCTTATGGAACATCCTTTCTTTAAAATAATCTTATTTTTTTCATTGTTTGTTTTCATATTCAGTTGTATGGAAATATATATATTATAGATACATGAAAGCTATACAGTTATGACAAATCAGAGAATAAAAATGTCATCTACAGAAATTACAGGTTCAAAGTTTTTTTTTGTTTTTTTTCTATATAATAAGAGCCTTTAACTCTCTGTTGCACATTGTAATACACGAGTAACAAATCCACCTTTGTTGCTTAATGTACACACAAATGCTTCAACTCTTACTTCCAGGTAACAGCCTAAATAAACCATGGAGCTAATTTAGTTGGTTCCTAAGTTGAACTATGTTACTTCTAGGTAGCATACCCACTTAGAATTTACCAAAATATATTTCACAAAGATTTTTTTGCACAATACAGATGTAAAAAAAAAATTTTTTCAATATCTTTTCCACTGTATTTTCATAATGCATGCAATATAAGGTTAAAGCAACAATTTGGAACACTGTTACACTAAACGTAAGGTGTTAGTGATATCAAGAAGTATTACTATTTCTTAAAACATAAATACTACAAGTATTATTATTTATAGCACCCTACAAGTATTGTTGTTTTTTGTAGCACCCAACAAGTATTGTTGTTATTTGTAGCACCCTACAAGTATTGTTGTAATTTGTAGCACCCTACAAGTATTGTTGTTATTTGTAGCACCCTACAAGTATTGTTGTTATTTGTAGCACCCTACAAGTATTGTTGTTATTTGTAGCACCCTACAAGTATTGTTGTAATTTGTAGCACCCTACAAGTATTGTTGTAATTTGTAGCACCCTACAAGTATTGTTGTTATTTGTAGCACCCTACAAGTATTGTTGTTATTTGTAGCACCCTACAACTATTGTTGTAATTTGTAGAAACTAAATTAGAAGTAATATCACTTGGTACAACAGTAATGTTGTTTTTAACACCCAAAAACAGAATAGTTATTACTTGTATCATCATGACCTCTAAGCAACTATGAATGATTTTAACACCAGAAATCATGTTGGATTTTATATAAATAGGATTATAAATATCACCAACATCTATGAAAATATGTTTACTGATAATGGCTGTCTGTAACCTAAAATTTATGAAAAGAGAAACACGTGTAGCTCCACTAAGTTAATTTCAATACTAAAATATATACAAGTAGTAATACTTATACTGACAACACATGCAAATCATTATTTTACAACACTTTATTCCACACGTGCAGAATAACATACAACACCACAATTTTTGCCATTACGATAATTTACACACACATACAGCTTTCTCTACATACCTTTGCAATCTGATAGCCTCTGTTTTTTTCAATTTTTCTTCCCAAGTTTCATTTAGCTCAGCAATCAGTTTTTCTGATTCTTGCAACTGTTGCATGGCATTCTCCCCTGCTGCGGACACAGAGTTGGTGTGGTTTTTGTTAATCACATCTGCTCTCCCCGTCTCATCTACAATAAAATTGAATGCAAGGAGAGACTTTTATAAATACAGAATTTCCAATTTGCCCTTGAAAGTTACTCTTCAAAACAATGCAGGCAATAAAGCACACAACTTAAAAAAGGTTCATAAACAATTTACAATATATTAAACAGCCTCTGCTTACAATAAACACACTGGTCAGCTTGGTGTAAAAACAATATGCACAGTCAGCAGCACAGACAACAAAAAACCAGATACAAAATATTGAAAACAGTATATCTCTCTCTCTCTCTTCTGGTTAACGTTAAGCCTAACTGTATGAGAGGTTATATATATTCAATAAAAATTATATATAAAGAAGGCACTTAGTAATTACGAAAAAGCTTAGCTATTTTTATTCTACCAGCTTCATAACTTTTATCTTAAAATAATCATGTTATCTTTCAAGGCAATAATGCTATAGTTTTTGTTTTTTTTAATATATTATTTTGACACATCAATAGATACAAATAAAATCTTCAAATTATTTTTTTGCTTCCTTTCTAATTATGTATCTATACAACAGCTTTATTAACACTGATGTAGATCATTTGAGACTGCTTTCTCTTACACAGTTTATTGCTACTTGTTCACCAACGTGATAAAAAAAAACGTAACTGAAAACCATGCATAATCATGAAACAAACAAACAAACAAGAACATCACAAGTAGTTAATACTAGATATTTTTTCTGTGTGTGTGTACATGCACGAGATCATTCCATCTGACTTCTTGCTTTGCTGATGATTGTAAAAACAGGGATCTGCTCTAACGCTATTTCCAAACCACATCTGCATTTTGCTTTTCAAAGCTGTCATCGTACTCATACGTATATCTTTAAAACAATTAAATAACCATTTCTTCCATACTTGCAGCTTCAAAAAATACTGTGGATTTGAAGGAGGTTTAATTATATGTATAAAATATATTTTCTAATTGTGTGCGTATGAAAAGTATGTCTATGAGGTCCAAATAATCGTGGCACTTTATTTATATAGAATGTCAAAATCAGTTAATAAGAACACCTATATATCTCTGAAAAACATTGAAACTACTTGCAAGTTCAAAGCAGTTAAGAGAAATTCCTCGAGTAAGGTTCATTTAAATGTCAATTAGCCCCTTCTACTGTCCAATTTTTCAATTATCATTGTATCTTAAAGATTTCGAAATGATATTGGTTTTCTTTTGCATTAAATGACATAAAAACAAGCAAATCCCTGCTGTACAACATTAAACAGCCCAACGTGTCTAAATAAAAAAGCTAGCAGTGAAGCAGCAAAGCAAACCACAAACGAAGCCAGTCACTTGTGATAAGTACAGTGACTTACTATTACGGCCGGGATTAGCCGTCACATTACCAGCTTCTGGGATAGATCAGAAAGTAAGAGAGGAAAAACAGAAGATATTAGAAAATACAAAAAACAAGTGTTAATAAAGACCCAGTTAAGACTAGAAAAACTGGAATACAGTTAATAATCATTCTTAAGTCAGAAAAAATTTACTATTAGTAAATGTATACCATTTGAATAAAAATACATGTTCATGTTAGACACCAAACTAAAGCTTATGATAACAAAAGTACAGTTTTTATTAGAATCTATAATTTATTATGATAAATCAAACTAGTATATATATATATTCAAAAGTATACAAAAAGTTAGGTTATTACAACAAGTAGTATATCAAACCAGACAAATTTTGTTTTACTTGTAAAAACTGTTTATCCTGATGATTACCAACTGAATTAATTCTCTTTTTTTTTAAATAGTAATTCACAAACACTTTTAATTAAAAAGTACGACTTAACAGAATTTCAGATGTTATGTTTATTTCTTTATCTGTGGTTTTTATGACTAAAGTTGCAGGTGTTAATCAACCTAGAATTCTTTATTAACACCTGCAACTTTAGTCATAAAAACCACAGATAAAGAATTCTAGGTTGATTAACACCTGCAACTTTAGTCATAAAAACCACAGATAAAGAATTCTAGGTTGATTAACACCTGCAACTTTAGTCATAAAAACCACAGATAAAGAATTCTAGGTTGATTAACACCTGCAACTTTAGTCATAAAAACCACAGATCAACCTAGAAAAAGGAATTGTCACTTGTTCAGTTGTCATTTGAATTCATCCCCCCCCCCAAAAAAAGGAGAAAAACTATAATCAAAGTTTAAAAACTAACTCTACCAAATATCTAACGTACATATAGCAATATGTTTCAAACTGTTACAAGTTTTATACTTTACCATCTACAGTTTTCATTAATCAATATTTATTAATACCAAACGACTCGTAAGCTCTCCTAAATGTTTGTTCTAAGAAATAACACTGAATGAGTGAGTTTATTTGTCATTACTTTTTAAGCACAAAGCTGGTTTATTGCCGTCTCATTTATAAACTTCAAAAACTTAGCTATAGTCAAATGAAATCAAAATATTTAACAAATAATTTTAGAAGGTTAAATTTCAATATATTTTTTGCACATACTTCAACCTGTCTAAAGGTCTTTACACCATTAATATTCCATACTCCGAGTTTAAAATAAAACTTAGAAATTATACGGTCATCAGTAAAGTCTATCAATCCTATTTTCTATTTTGGAAAATTATTTCTATAAAAAAACAATAAATTTTAGCAACTCTGAAATACAAAAACTTCCAGTGAAGTATTGAGTGATCTCTATTAACTAAGTTTTTACCATTCCATTTACTTTCAAAGACTCCAAGTGCAAATCTAGTGTGGAAATGTGGATTATTGATGAACTAATCTTACTTAGCCATATGATACGCCCATCATACTACATTTAATGCATAAATGGCATTAACACATACACAATAAATTATGCTACATGCTTGTACCTCAAAGTTCATGTATCTATAGTGACGTTTACAATATTTGTGCTATTAAGAACAACATAAGTCATCATGTCAATTACTCTTAAATAATGCCCAAGTAAAGAATACTAACTTTAATATTTTAATGTCTGTGCTACACTGAAAATCAAATTGTTTTTTAGTTGTTGGTGTTAAGTGCAAAGCTACACAATGGTTTATGTGTTCTACCCAACATGGATACTAATACCAGATTTTTAGTGTCGTATAACTGCAGACTTACCGCTGAGCCACTTTGAGGCAAATCAAATTGTTAAATATGTAAAAAATTTAAAGTTACTTACAAATCTCTTCTACATTGTTAAAAGATTTCAGTTCATTATTTCTTACATGCTGATCTTTTGAAGCCTTCAGCTAACACAAATCAGATTTAGTTAAGCCTATTACGAAAATAATACAACATACATGTCTACATCAGGCCTAATTATTGTATACAAAATATACATTAGAAATATCTAAGTAAGTTGGGTAGCAAGTGAACAATATCTGGCGAAATACTACTGTTTCAAACAAAAAGTAAAATTAAATATAACCATATGCGTTTGTGTGCATGTGGAAAAATAGTTTATACATATAAAAAATTATATAAATATGACACGAAATACAATAAAATTCTTTCATCAATGATTAAATTACTAATTCCAAGAAAGAAAATGTTATAGTAACAGAAGGAAAATGAAACGGAGTGACACATTTTTAATAAATGCAGTTTCTGAAGTAAAATCTACCAATGAACACAAAACTCTACAAGACTACACACATACTTGGGAAAGATTAGCGAATAAAGCAACAAAATATTCAACATAAGAAGGATACTGATAATATACTTTCAAAAGTTTCTTATTGAATGAACCAAAACGTTTGGGTAAAATGTTTATAGAGACAAGAGAATTTAAGATAATCCAAAAGTGAACAATGAAAAATTAGTCAACATAACAGACATTTGAAGTTTATACACTATAACTAATATCATCTGAAGCAACAGACCACATACAACATGGAAAACATTCTATTTTACATCACCTTTCTTCTTTTTTAAGTTAGACAGAAAACATTTTATGTGGGTAAAGTGAATAAACCGATTCATGTAGCTATATTGAGTCGTCGAGTTTCTTTCTGTTTGACTTGGAAGTATCTTGTTATATAGTACACAGTCCAAAGTTCATAATCTGATGATGACAACTCACATTCTCAGCCTTAAAGGTGTTCAAGCTCGATTGGAGTAGTTTAATACATGAAAGTCTCCTTGATCCAAAGTGTTTCTTCATTCAAACTACATCCCATTATCTTACAGTATGTAAGCATGTAGTTGTATAAAAGTACTAAAATAATCGTGCATTAATATATATGTGTAATTGTTCTCAATGCAAATAGGGTTATTTAGAGTTAACAATCCAAACCTTTGAAATATGCAGTTACAGCAAAGAAAACAAATTAATTTAATGGTTCTGTCATCCTAGCAAATCGATTAAATCCAACACATCTCATTAAACAGATATAAATGGAACTCACTTTAACGTAACTTAAGTGGAATGAGACTCCAAATGACAAGTAACCATTGGGAAACCATCTTTTGTGTAAACACCTGGTTCAATTGCCCTTAATACATCTGGCTCGAATAGGGTTTTGCTTTACATTTAATATAATGGATTTCAAGCATAAATATTCCCTGATAGTTTAGAGTCCTATCATTTTTTTATTCTAGCAAACCAATTAAGTGAAAATTAAGACTACACATTTTATCTTAGTTGTAACTGGTAAGAAAGTATAGGTTAAAGTCTTGGTGTGCGTGTGTAATGTTTTTGCTTCAACATAAAATTTGAACTTTTCATTCCACTTATTGCTTCTCCTCCCTCTCTCTCCATTTTGGAGATTCAGATACGATTTTTAAAAAAGCAATAAACATGATAAACTGTTGTAATTGTAATCTAGCATTGTAACACATGGGGAGTCAGCACAGTCCCTGGATTGTCAGCTACTGCTCAACTTAACCCAACCTCTGGATTGTCAGCTACTGCTCAACTCTCAACTCAACTTAAACCAACCCCTGGATTGTCAACTACTGCTCAACTCTCAACTTAACCCAACCCCTGGACTGTCAACTACTGCTCAACTCTG